GGTTCAGCAACACATAAACACTACTCCTTTATTCCTAAATCAGATACCTCCATCCAGTTCACCGCAAGGAAATTTTGGAAAGGAAGAGAAGAGAAAGAGAGACAAGACCTAAACCCTTGCCTTTTCTCCCTGGTGCTCGTGGCCTGGAGAAAGGTTCTGCAGCTCCTATCCAGCTCCCATCAGCAGGCATTGACAAAGGACGAGGTTTTCCTGAAGGCAACAGAGAAGGTTACGAGGAATTACACTAAATTTGGAAACCAGTTTTTAAATTGATACTTTTCACAATTGAGCAAAGGGAGAGATAGAGCAATAAGCAGTTAAAAATCAGAGGAAAAAAATATTTCAAGATACTTGGACTGGTGAAATACAAGAAAGCAATGCACTGAGATTGAACAGCCACACTCTTGCTCATTTACAGCAAGTGGTCATAATGACCCAAAGTTATAACCAAAACACTCATGGAAATAGCCAACCATAATAGTAAAGCTTAGCTGAATGACGTTCATTAAAGAAGTAACAGCATTTAAGTAAAATTATTTCGGATGTGGAATTTCATTCAGAATTTGCACAGGCTGCCCTTAATATCCATGAAGTCTAACGAGCAGTTTTCTAACGCAAGTTATTTCAAACTGACCAAAGCGTTTATCATAACAGCAATAACAAAAGAGGAATGAACTCACCATAGGACTGCGTTTTTTCTCTCATCTTGGCTGGCAGGATATTTGCTTCTATGGGATACCCAGGCAACTGATCTGAATCAGCAATAGTAAACCTTCGCCTTCGACTCTCCTGATCCAGAAAAGAATTGGGAGACTCGGCGCCCTTGGACCCAGGTAGTGGCTGACTGAGTTTGTTGCCTCCTCCATATACAAAACTCCCCTTTTCATCTCTGAAAGGACATTTCACTTCAGTTAGTAGCTTAAAAGAGTTTCACACTACAGACATGAGTGGGTTTGAAAGGTACCTCTAGCCACGAGTCATGCTCCTGACAAGTGGCATTGTGCTGCAAATAAGCTGGGAAAAAAAAAAAACAAGTCAGGTGATGGAAGACTTCATTATAAACATATTTAACAAGGAGAAAAGAAAGCTATCCCCTTCATGCTAATTCACCCTTAATGAGCCAGTAATTTAACACAGAGAAGTTTAGAGGTACCACTACTGAAAAAGCTTTTGAGAAATGAGACCTTTTTGCCCTGAGGATATCAAAGCTCCTGCCTGTTCAGTACACAGTTGTGACAGAGGAGTGCATACATAGATTTATCCATCTCTGTGTAAGGGCAACACCTATTGCCTCCATGCGAGGGACTATGCTTTTCAGTCACTCTAAGAGCCCAATAACTGCCACAAGATATTCATCACCTTCTCTCTCCATTCAAAAGTGAGACCCCCTTGAGAGTTTCAGTAATAAATTCACAGTGTATACACATATGATTTTGAGCAATTTCTGCAGGAACTCTCCTCCCAGAGCAATCCTTTATTCCAAAGGCCAGGAACAGTCATTTTTAGAACTAGTCCTTGTGAGTACTTTTGGAAGAAAATTATGATCTTTGAGGTCCCTTCCAACCCAAAAGCTTCCCTCCAAGTTAAGATTTGTCTGGGGTTATTTTTTCCACTTCCCTGTGCATGCTATAATCTCATTACTTGAAGCAACCATCAGTCAAGTCAGGCATAAAAATGCACAGCTGACTGTCTAAGCATATACATACCCCAGTATTCACAACAGCCCCCCAGCCAGCACATACCACTTTTTCCAGTTCTCCATCAAGAACAATGCTAGAGCTCAGTGACTGGGAGGGAGCTTTTTATGCAGATTCAGAGACCAAAAATTGCACAGTGTTACACGATAACTGTATGTATGCGGAGAACTCTCCTACAACATCACCATGTGGAAACTATGCCATGGGGAGGGAAACCAGCCACCACTCTCTGCATCCCCAATAGGGGCCAGAGAAGGTGCAGGCCAGGAAGGGAAGACAACAGGATGATGGAGGGCAGCGGGACAGGAGGAGAAACACCCACACAAAGGCACCACAGCTTCAAGAAAAGATCCAAATATGCAGAGGTGAAATTAAACAGCCAAACAAGAAGGCAAGAGAACTGCCCCTTCTCCTCTTCCTGGCTGCCACAGCTGCCCACATTTGCTTTCTTTAAAAGACAAATTTAAGAAGCCTTCCCTTTTCCACACATCATCCATGAAAAGTTTTATAGCTCATATTGCTACTTCTTTGCTTGTCAGAGATTCAGGTCTAAAGGCATCTGAAGCTAGATATGATTTTGTGACTTTTTAGGAAAAAAGAGATAGATAAACTGAGCACATGCAAATAATTCACCAATGTGCTTGAAATGAAACAACTCAAAGAAAAGACTAAGGTATTCTAAACTCAGCTGTTAAATCTACACACTTGTTTTTATGTCAAGAAATTTCATTATCATTTCTTACCAAAAAAAAAAAAGTCGTAAGAACTGAGCACGCATAAACATAAAAACAAGGAGACAGCAGGTCAAGGTGGGTCCAACTTCAGTAGAGAGACCCCATATTGGAGAAACCTTCTCACCTCACCCCGGTACTGCCCTGAAGACTGCAGTAACACAATTCGCTGTCTGTGTATCAGGCCTTACACGACAGGAGGCAGGCTGTCCTGCTGCAAAAGGTCAGAGTTTCTGTGCTGGGCTCTACGTAACCCAAAGTGTCAGGCCAGAAAGTATGCCTTGCCTGAAAATCACCTTCCCAGGTCAGCTGGCAGGGTTCTGGCACAATCAACATGGACTTGAGAACAAACAAAAGCTAGCCATACCATACTCTTCCCCCACACCCCTCCTCCCCTCCTTTTATGTACACAGGTCTGCATTTTTATAGCTTACACCACAAGGGAAAAAAAATAAAGTTGAATGAACTTCTCCCTTCCCTTCAGTGAGAACATTCCTGTTTTATACAGCTTAAAAGTTAACAATTTAAAACAAGTTCTTTTCTATCCTAACTCCCACAACAGTTACTTAACTTATTAAAAAAAAAAAAAACACAACAAAAATAATAGTGGAAAAAGTTACAGACAAAAATGACTTCTTTCTATGTACAGTTGGATTTAAACAAAATCAAAAACATAACCCCACAACAAAACCAACAACAATATCCGTTCATGTTTTGGGAACAAGTCTGATCTATGTGGCACAAAATAATCTTCTAATAATAAAGTCTATTAAAATCCTGGTAGTTTATGCATTTAAGCATAAGTTAAGCAATCTTACGTATTTAGGCAACTAGAAGAAAGCTTGTTAGATCTGCAATTTCCTCAAGCTAACGTGCACAGAGCTCTAACAGCAAGCCAGCTCAGAAACAAGCATAATAAAGGAGTTTTTTGTTCAGTAGTGGATGTTTATTTGCATACCGAGGAGAATATGGAACAGCTGGTGGAGGTGGTATGTACAGATCCAAAATGGCTGGCTTCTCTTTTTTCAGTGAGATATCCATGGTGCTTTCTGATGACTGGGTTGAAGTTGGCGGAGGACTGGTCTGAAATGTTACACAGCTATTAAACACCTGAGCATTAATTTATGATTCACAAAAATAGAATTCAATAATGAATACTACCATTTCCTTCCCTAAGGAACGACTTCCATGCTTAATCAACATGCTAAAAACTCTTAGCATTTACATTTTCCTCCACTCACAGTTTTGGCTAGCTTTGCAGTCCCTCCTACAGATATCCTATCACAGGTAATACATTGCTTAAGAATATTTTCTCTTTCCAGTTCTATTTGTCCTGCAAATTCCATAGACAGAAAAAGCAACAGAGACAAAACCCCTTCTATTTTTAGATCCATTAGAAGAATGCAATTTGCTGAATACAGATACGATCTGCAACATTTACAAAGCCAGCTCACGCTAGCCTTATTCCATACAGTCCAGTGCCTGGGGCACAGGCAGGAACATGGTAAAGTTCACCACAAATTGCATCAAGTGATATAACTACGGTGAGAGAAGCAAAGGAAAAATATGTTTGGTATTGCTGATCTGAGTAAGTTTGCCATTTTGTTCTTTGTGGCTCACTTCTGTGTTCCCAGCATCTTGCCAGGTTCCTGTCTGTCTCAGAGAGTAAAGGCTTGAAGGACCCTTTCACCTTTGTCAGGCAAGAGGACTGCACTCTCCCCTTTTCGTCAAGGATTTTTCCAGGCTACTCAGTTAATGGCACCTCTGCACAAGCACCTGCCTTTTACCAGTCAGTACATTGGAGCCCAGAACTGTCAACAGGCTTCTCCAATCACCCATTCCCCCAAAATGCTGCAGGTTGATAAATTATCCTCACAAATGTAGAGAGACTTCTGTCAGAACAGGAGTAGGAGTGGGAACTCTCCCTGGTTTTCTATATTTCATGTAATCAGTTTAGATTCAAGTAGGTTATTTCCTCCTGTAAGCTCTAAGTTTCCTACTACATGTCACTCTTCAACATGGTTACTTAAGTTATTAACTGCACTTTCTCTGTCTGCTCATTACCCAATCTGTGAAATGCTCAACAATCAAATCTTATTTAAACATGTAGTTTAAATAACTTCTTGAAAAACACTCACTATTTCCCACCCTTCACCAGACTAAAAAGAGGACAAATACACGCACTAATCTAAGCTATTTTGGCAAAAACTTATTACTCTGATAAATGAAGGAAGCATTTGTTACTCCATGCTGATGAATTCCATACGTATCAGCAGTTTCAGCAGTTTTGCCTCAGGTAAGTTCTCCCAGTGGCATGCCGACTGATTAAAATGCTCAACACACCTAGTTCCTTTTGTGTATCAAGAGGACATTATCTGAGTTAAGAAAAAAAAAAAAACTGCAAGAACATTTTTCCCTTTCATCTAGGAACCAGAAGAGGACAGCCATTTCACCTAACCCTCTGTGACCTATACTTAAACATGAGTACCTGGGAGCGTTTCTGGTATTTTTTAAGTTGTAACCAAGGCATTCCCATCTCAATGTTACAGCTGAGCCAAAGCCTCTCACCTGCACCAAGGGTGGTTTCCAGCGCAGGTTCTTTAGTGGAGCAGGAGTGAAATGGAAAGAGCCAGTAGGACGTTTCTTAAGCAGCAGCCTAACTCCAGCAGGATTCTCTCGCAACTTTGCTACCAGATTTTTCAGTTGCCATCCAACCTGGAAAAGAATAAAGACATCTTTTATTTGGTATTGCTTTTCTGAAAGTGATCAAACAAGAAAAAAGCAAATCCCCCAAATCAAACTTAAGGCCAGGTTGGGTGAGGCTTTGGGCAACCTGGTGTAGTGGAGGGTTTCCCTGCCCATGGCAGGGGGGGTTCGAACTAAATGATCTTTGAGGTCCCTTCCAACCCAAACCATTCTATGATTCTATGAAACTGTCCATTTTAACATGAACCTAAGGAGAGAAAAGATACCCAAAAAAGCCAGAATGAAGAAAAAAAATTGGAAAGCTCCTTTTTTGGAAGGATCATCTTTGTTTTGTTTCAAAGACCTCTACTTAAACTGTAAATTAAACACTGAGGTATCGAGCAATGCTCTTCATACCACAGCTCCGGTCCTAAAAGGATGCATGAATGTGCTCAAATTAAGCATTTCTCACATTGAAAGGCATTGCCTACCTGTGCTAAATAAAAACATAATCTTTTCATCAAAGTTTCCAGATGCAAATGATTTGATAAATACTTGGGTTTTTTTAAAAGCAGGCTTATCTGCATTCCAGTAGATTGTAACAATGCATTTTAAAGCAGGCCTTAAATACAACATGAAATCTTTTAATACGGTGCATAAAGCACTTAATCAAAAAATACTGCACATTTATTTCATCAAAATATCACAAAGAATTAATTTTAAGTAAAATTTGTCTTGAAAGCAAAATGTTAAAAAGCCTCAAAGATTTCAACAGGAAAACACTAGAGCGGTCTCCTGACCCCATCCATTCCGAACCCGTGGTGTGCAAGCTTAAGAGCAAGCATCAGGGAAGACTGGGTAAGGCTGTTTGTTACTAACCACAGTCTGACGATTAACCTGGATCACTTCATCACCAGCATGAATCTTCTGAGACCGATCAGCAGGGGACTACAAAGAGGAAAACAAGAGGCACGTGCTTCAGCAGGTTTTCTCCCTTCTCATAATGACCCTCACCAAGCTAAGTCAAAGGTTGTGTCTACAATGAAGAGCGTTGCTGAAAATTTTCACACAGCTAGATCGCTGTGCTATTACAGCCGTTGATGACTTGGAAAACGCAAACGAATTCAACCTATGATTTTCTGTCCTAACACAGCAACTATCTTAAACTTAGCTTTCAAGTAAATGTGTATTGATTTTTTTTTTAAAAAGATAAAGATTTTGAACGTACAGAACAAAGGACCAAAACCCCTTCAACTCACAAAACAGACCCATTTCATTTTCTCTTTGTTTCCTTATGAAAATAAGAGCTACCAACTTTAATGTGAAATTATCTGCCTGCATTATCAAGGTCAACAGATAAAACATATGCTTGCACATATCAAGTGTGCTTAGACAGGTATTTTTCAAGTACCTATCTAATAATAATAATACACCTTAAAAGACAATTTTCTTGGAACAAACACCAAGCTCTGGGGAGCCATTAGCCAGGAACAGCTAAATGTGTCAATATTTATTTAGATTTATCTGCAGTTGGTGCCATGTACCAACTATCGCTGCAGTTATTAAAAATAGCCTCGCTGCACTAACAACAACACCCAAAGTGCACAGGCATAGTACTTTGGTGTATTGCACTCCGGTCACGGAACAACTTCTCCTCTCATTCCCCCCACCCCATGAGTAACCACGTAGCAGAAGGCCAGCTCTTCCTAGCAACTCCAGAACTAAGCACTTGAATCAAGGACTCCCTTCTCCTCGTCATCACACCGTTGGAGCTCAAGTAACTTTTTTATTAAAAGGAACTGTAGGAATAAACAATGCAACAAGGGAAGACAACATGGGGTAATTTGTGGGAGGTTCCAGCTATCATGAGTAACCCCATTTCTTCATTGTCTTCTGTCTTCCTCTGAGAGGAAATGCCTCCATGGAAGGCTGCGTATATATGAGTCAACTGAGATCATGACAAAACGCTGGGCCAAAGTCAAACTTGTGAAAAACAAAGCTCATTTCAAGCTGTCCTTTGAGCGATCAAAAGCTCGTCTGGAGGAGGGCAGGGGACCCTTGCACAGAGGACTCCTACAACAAGTGCCAGCTAGCACAGCAGACACTGCAATTGCATTGTGAGAACAGAGGAAAGAGCAAAGTTTAGATCTAGGCCAACGTGACTCAGGAATTCACAAGTAGGACAGCACAACTCAGGAATTCAACTCTTGGATGACTGGTATCAAATGCATGGACTTTCTCAGTCCTTCTAATGTACAGTACTGTTAAATTCGGGGGTGCAGTTCCACTGCATTCCAACACACTGGCTTCTGGGGATAGCTACTGAAATACCATTCCAAACCTATCAAGAAAATTGAGCTAAGATCCAGCCTGATCCTATGCCACCAGAAAGATACTAGCTGTTTGCAGCTCTCTGTTACTTCTTAAGCTTTGTTGCTCCAAAAGAAAGAACTCTCCCAAAGGAAGAACTTGTGTTCATTAAAAAGTGGAAGTTTAGGTCAACACTCAAAGCTACAGAAGCAATATAGCCCAACTCCTGGCCTCCAAAGTAAAATCTATACGCACAGGGAGCTTGGCAGCAGTCAACGTTACATCTTTCATATTTATCGGATGTTGAAATTGCTGTCAAAGTGGCCTCTGCCCTTGTTTCAGACCCTATACAGAGTTATATCAGGGCAATAGCATAAAAGCCATAAAAGCTTTCAGTTTTCACTCTGAACTGCAAGCACAGATTTCCACCCATTCCTCCCTGCCTCCTGGACTTGGCAGAGGTACAACTAGAACCACTGAGTCTTTCCTATTCACAAAAAAAAAAAAAAAAAGCATCACTGCAAAAGCCAAGTTCCTCCACTCTTTTTTCTTTCAGTTTTTTCTTTCAGCCACTGGTCCTGTAGAGTGGCATGTCTGACAACATCACAGTATCACCTGCCAGCCTCAGCTGCTGGCCAGAGGTCCACTGCAATGACTGCCCAGAAGCCTTTAATGAAGTCTCAGCTGCAGAGAACTCACAATGTAGGACTAAAACAAGTAACCATCTGCAGGGGAAAAAAAAAAAAAAAAATACAGTGGCCTATCATGCCAACCATTTCCTTCCAGCGGACCACTCTTGAAGTCTTGCTTTTCCACAGTATTTCTACTTTGCAAGGTAATTTCGTCACTGGACAGCTCATTGATTTCATTACTCATTTCTGAATTTAGCACACTACCATCTAAACGTTTCCATTAGGGGAGATTGCCTTTGCCAGCAGAGAGCAAATACGTTCAAGACTTTGTTAAGCAAGATACCATAAACACTCAGAACAGCAGATACAGTAACTTATTAAAGCAATTATTTGAACGTCAAGCGCTTGAACTAACTCATGTACTTGCAGAAGCTGGTTTAATTAGACTAACAGTGAAACATGCAGACACAAAATATTTACAAATTGTGGATAAACAAATGATGAATCACACAGTATTTAAGCAGTAATATCATGAAAGTCAGATGTACACCAGGAAAAAGTAGTTAAAAAAGTCAAATGAACTCGATCAAAGCTACTGTCAGATAGCCTGAGTTAATCTACGTTTACTTCACTTACGTTTTCTGTAGTTCCAGTAATTACATGTAATCCATCATAAGTTGATTTGATGTACATTCCCTAAATGTAAGCAGAAAATGAAAAAAAAAGTTTAAAGGCAAAAAACCACGTAACTTATCTGATTAAACAACTGTTGGCAACAGACTCAAAACATTATTAAAAACATTTAACAATTCACACGAATACAAAAGTGTGTGGTCTAATATTACAACATTCTAAACCTCTTTACAGATCATTTTTACTGTAATTAATTATAATACTTATAATGACTTAAAAAAACTAATACATGGAATGCAATTTAGAAACACTGTCTGGTTGGTAATACCAGACACTGCTGGTTTTGCTGCCTTGTCGGTCTTTGGCCTTGAACAAAACTTTTTTCCTTACTGCCCTGTCTGCACCAGAGAATTACAGCTTTTACCAGATGGCTGCCAGCTCTCTCCATACAAAGTACACTTACACAAGTGGGCTACAAATATTGCCTACATGTTCTTCTACAATTTCTCTTGGCAAGTCAATATACAGACTGCCTTGTGACCACAGTGCTGCCATAAATAATAAAAGCTCTGGCAGAACCAAGTATTTGTGGCTGTATATGCTAATGCTGAGTGTGAATGCAAGGGCAAACACAGATGAAGTGGGTGTTGACCATATGAGCACCAAATTAAAAATCTCCAACAGGCTATTAACTAATAATTGCCTAGATTTCCCCAAAAGAGGTGATCAGTATATTGGTTTCATCATTTATGAACAAATACATCTCTACTTTTCCTACCTACGTCTGTTAGAACCACTCACGCCGAGCTGTACAGAACTGGATGTTATTCAGGTGTCATAGGCAGCTTATCTGCCTGAAGTTACCACACTTGCTTAGAAGTACCAGGAAAAATACAATATTTTTTCCTCCTTTCTCTTCGGGCAATTCCCTTCCCAGTTTGCCTGTCGGTATCCAATCATGTGCACCTACCTTCTTCGTTTCTTACTTAGTCCAAGCTAGGCTGACTCTTTGTTGTAGCTTATGCATTTACAAAGAGGTCCCCATAAATTCAAGAATGCATGACTGATTCTGCCAAATCCAGTGGCCTAGGTAAAACTATATAACACAGTAAGACTGTAAAGCTTCCTCTAATAATGTTCATCTCTTCTGCCTTCAGGGCCCAGGGTGGGGAATACAAATGCACTTGAGAATTTAAATTCCCTCCAACTCATTCTAACACGTTTGTTCTCCAGCCAGAAAATCCACCAAGATTTCAAACGCAGTTTCCCAGCACTCAGCTAAGTAGTATCCACTGAACAAACTAAAGTCAGTAATGTTACATGGCCACTGAACATTTAAAAGGATTTTTTATATTCTAGTTAACAGCAAACCTCAAAAATCCTCATATTCTTCACAATCTTGCTATAAACACACGTAAAAACATGTCTTTCAAAAAACACAAACGCCATTTCTCATCACTCTGATAAATGCCCTCTGCCCTATCCCCAGAAAACAGTTGGTTGAGGTAATCTGCAAAAATAAAATGACTGCTTTCACAAGCATCTGTAAACTCTCCAATGTCCTGGTTAAGACACAAATCTGCAATACTTCACCATCCAAAACTACACTTGGAATCAAACCTAGTAACATGCCTACCATCTCCAGCAGCCACTCCAACACACTACCTGACAATCAACTTTCAGAGTTCTTCCCAATGCCTCTTTCTTCTCCCCACAGCATATTTATGGTTTTGAAATACCCTGCTAGACACACACACACACGCAGTGGCTCACCAGACTACCTATTAAACACAGGGAACATCAGGACACTCCAGAATCAGTTCTTACCAGGCCTTCCCCAGGTTTAATGTTTGTTAAATGAACCTCCTCCAGACACGCACATTGGCTCATCAATGGATCTGTAGTTGACCGGATGGCTTTATCACAAATACCATTTAAAGTTTTTGCCTACAATGAGAACATACAAAAAAACAGTTACAAAATTTCTCTCCTGACTTCTTCCTCTTTCAGTTTTCAAAAACAGAAAGGAAATGAGTTCTCAAACTTGGTCCACTAAAAAAGCATAGTTAAGAATCACCAAAACAGAAGATTCACTTGTACAGATCTATTCTACAGCATGTCTATCTTCTTACTGTAATCTAGTACAGACTACCTGTTTCCATTAGTGCCACCTTATCATCACTGACAGATGCCAACACATCCTCCATTTAAAAAAAAAAACACACCACAAAAAAAACCCACACAGAATACAAAAAACATAGCAAAAAAAAAAGGTTGGGGTTTGTTTGCTTTAACCAAAATACAACCCATTAAAATATTTTGATGATTCTTTGTGGTACCAATCGACAGTTTTTCATGTTGCTCTTTATTTCTGCTGTGAGAACAAAATCGTCTGTGTGTCATTAAAAAAAAGAGATACTGGCCACTGACTTATCTGCACAAAGCTTTACAGTGTAAGGTAGGACATCTAGCACTTAAATGTTTCAGCATAACTTATCTCCACTGTGCCTCTGAGCTGACCTCTTCTGGAATGCTTATGCAGGCAAGGTTCATATTTCCTTTTGACCAAAACATAACTGATCCTAAGCCAACATTATAAATAAAGGCGAATTCTGACCTTCTGTGTGTGTGTGTGTAGGTGTCACTAAAGTCAGAGGCAGAATGGCTTTGTCTTTTAGAACTTTTGACTAGCAGAATAGCTAATTAATCAGAAGGAAAAAAAAAATCATAGTCAAAAAAAATTGTGCTGTCCCTACACTCACAAATTTCACTAACACCCACAGTGTGTTCTGAGTCTTGACACTAACTGAAGCCATGCTGAAATTCAAAGTAGGTTACAAAGCTTCAAGGAGAGGGGAGGAAGGATTAGCACATAGCACAGTAGTTAGTGATACACAGTCCAGGAACCAGCAAGGTAAGCCACCTTTCACCTTCAAAGTAGGCATACGTAATTACAGGGCCAGGGGAGTTGTCTTGTAGGAAGACATTGGTTTGGATTACAATGGTCCCTGGAAACAATAGTTCCAAATGGTTTTTGTTCTGTTTTGTTTTACATCAGATTTATAGAGCAGCAATAAAATACATCAAAACAATGTTCAAGTGTGAATGCGAGGAACTGCTCAAACAAGGGAACTCCAAACAACAATACCTACTTCCAGAGTGGGTGTGCACAAATGGAAAAAGAAAGATGCAAAAAAACTCCCTTTTACGTGGTCTCATTATTTAGAGACAAATTTATTTTTAGTTATTGCGCTACTAAATTCCTAAGCATCTATGAGCTAGCGGAAGACCTTATCAAAGAGCACAGCCTGGTTTATGTCAAAAGCAGGAAGTGATGATTAACTGTTACAAAATATAAAAAGCATTCCATTACTCTCCTCCTTTGGTCACAAGGCTGCTTCCAACAACTCTGAAAACTCAGCTCTTTCAAGCTCAAGTACAATCAGAGACAGAACTTGAGTTCTGTGGCAGGACAGCTCTTTTACATGAAGCAGCTTAATAAGGCATAATGTCTGCTTATTAAGGCACTAAATGTACATCACAGGCATAATTGGCTTATTTAGCCTATGACCATTCCAGAATACTAACCCTCCCTTGAAAATCTGAGGTTTAAATTCTCTTGAAAAAAATAGCTGTGCAATGAAACTTCAAGGAATACTTGACTCCGTGCTATTACATAATATACACTACCTGTCTGTTCAAATTTCATTTATTTCCTCCACAGCAAAGAATATTCACAAAATAGCCCGTAATAATGTTTACTTGCACGATATGCTTGTATGTGTGGGATTGAAAGCTGTTGTCAGTACAGTCCGCATAGAAGCCGACGAAATAAATGTGAATGAAGGCAGCTGAGTTTCAACAGAAACATGTACTTACTACAATCTGAACTTTATCTTCCATGTCAGCCACAGTGCAGTCCTAAAAACAAGAACAGAAGCCCTACGTTAAGCAATAAATATGTAAACGCATCATCTCTGAAAATGCTGCAGAACTGCCACTTGAACCTCAAACTGAAATAGAGTTATTCATGCTGCAGGGATTAATCAGATTAGTTTCACCCAGTAGGGGTCAAATGTACTGTTAAGCAACTATTTTCTGGCCCTGGTGGAAAGCAATAATAAACCTTGAAAACTAAGAGAACATGGGATTCAATTACAGCAGCAGATTATTCTGGAAAAGCAGAACGCTGCACAATAGAACTAGACTTTCAGAAGGCCAGGCACACAAGCTTGCCTTACACCGATAAACCCCGACTGAGGCACTCCTCTGTCCCAAGCATCAAAATGCATCTAAAGCATATTGTTAAAAATAGCACAAAAAGTGAATTTTAAAAATATGATATCAATGACATTCTTGCAGGCCAGAGGACTGCATACAAAGCATTATTTACACAGCCCAGGTACAAAAGTCTTTTAACTGAAACAAGTTCATGTAACAGACTACAGAAGTAGCCATTGTTTTCCGCAAGAACAACTGAACTAGAGAATGGTATTAGATTCTCAGATTAAATAGTTAAAATAGCAAGTAAGTAATGAAACAAGATTTACAATATCTATAAAGGAGAAAAAAAAAACAAACCCCAAGCATTTAAACAAGCTTAAATTCCAAGATATTTGCCATTGACATCTCAACCTCCATGACTACCACACAGTGTCTGAGAGATGCATCCAGGAGCTGTGAACTGAAGCTGTTCCATACTTCTAATCATCATCAAGACTTCTTCTGTTCCTTCCTAGCTCTATTCTGTGCTTTTAAATACAGAACAGACCAAAATAACCACACAATCCTCCAGATATGGGCATACCAGGCATATATAAAACAGCTCAGCTATGTTCTCTTTCATGTTTTCATACTAAATCTTAACACACTGTTCACTGTTGTAATGACTGCCAAGGACTGAGGTCACACTTACATTGTCACCAAAAGCTTCAGGATCTTTCCTGAACACAACTACAAAGTTTAGACTCCATCGTTGTGCATCAGCATAATTTTTCTCTGCTAAATGTATCTCCATGAATCAATAGTGAATGTCACCTATCATCATGCAGCCCAGTTGCTCAAGATTGCAAAGTCCTTCTGCTCTTCTTCATTTCTATTTACACTGATTATTATTTTAACCTTAAAGTTTGTCATAAAACTTTTAAGAAACAGCGGAGTAAACTCTGTTCCTTGTATCTATACAGCTGTCATTAAAGTCAAATGGAATCTTACTGCATTCCCATCTTGCTTTATTATTTACCCACTTTTGCACATCATTTAAGATTATACAGAGCAGCATTAACTCCACAAGAACTGCACTGGTCTGTTCTCCACTATGACAACCAACCATTTATTCCTACACTCTATTCTCTAAGAAGAAATACTTTTGAAGTCTAAAAACTCACCTAAAGATTTTTCAGTTGTATCTCTCTTCCACCTTAGTGGACTCCTTCAGACCCTTCTAATGTATCTGCAGTGTTCTAGTACAAAACAGCATTGACTCTTCCCCCATTAATGCTTTTTCTCATATGCACCAACCCCACTCTTCATTATAGCTCACATCAAATTGGCAGAGAAGTACTCTGACATTTTTTAAAAGGCTAAGGTTATATTCGCCAACTCCCATTTCCCTGCCAGCAAAGGCTGATTTAACTGATAGATTAGACAACATTTTTAGCAGTTTTATTAATAAAGTTCAGTAATCTCATATCTCAGTTCCTGTAGCACTCTTGGGTGAACACCATCTGCTGCTAGAAACGCTTACTGTTTGACTTCACAATCTCTAAATCTGTAGCTGTAAATCACTAACTTTCTGCAATTGCACACGCAGCACCCAAACAAGAAGGGCATTCAGCAGCAATGAGGCACCAAACTTCTGTGCCTTATGAACTTATAGTATCCAGACACTATCCTTTCAGAACAATCCAACTGATATAACTGGGTGTCATCATAGCTTGACAACTCACAGGATGTTTCTGCCCTTTGACATCATCCCTCTAAAACAGGGAGAGAATCACTCATGTCACAGGACAGGGCTCTTCAGAGTTCAGACAGCATACAGCCACGGATTAATGGCTACAAGCAAGTTGGGCAGGAGCTGAAGCCTGCCATCGTGTTTCGCAGCCAAAGCCGTGGCACACCGTCAGAATGGTTTCAAAGACATGTAGTACTATTCAGAGAGTAAAATGACATCGTTTGCCAAGACTGCCCCAGTTGTTACGTGTTCTTTTAGCTGTTACCAACACAAGTGCTCATCACACAGCCAATAAATGGAAAGTTTCAAAACAAAACACTGTGGTCTCACGTTATGAGCAGAAGCAGCCTGGCTAATGGGATTTGTATCATAAAGGTGGCAGCTCGTTCCGTTACATGCAGCATTTCCCATCTGATGGGTCAAACACTCTGTCTGGGACAAGACCTAAGGAGTCTGCAAGCATCGGTATAACAACCAATGGAGTCATATTTTTGTTTAGAGTTAGCACTAATAACTGTTTTTCCACACATTGTTTGGAACTTAAAAATCTTCAAATGCAGCAAACCAACTATTTCAAAAACCAACTCTCTCTCCATTAAAGCTCAGGGAAACATGAGTAGCCTTTAAACCACAGTCACTTAAGATACAGCCAGCAACAGCAAAACTGGAAATTAAATGGGGAAAAAAAACATTCAACTCAGCAAAATGGACAACAGAAACTGACCTTCATGGACCTTCAAAGTTTGAACTAAGCTCTCATTTCCAGATTTGCCTTCCAATTAGCACTCTGCACACAGCAAGCACATTACTTCCCCAAACACTCCCCCTTCCTTCCCTTTGGAAAGCAAAGAGGAAAAGAAATCAGCTGACCTTCTGAACAGTAGTAGTGAGATCCAAGCAGAGCTGAATGATTCTGTTCTTCATTGATGAAAAGTCAGCAATACCTGTAAATGGGGTCCTGCAACAAGAGAAAGTTCCTCTTAAATCAAAGGGACGGACCAGTCTTCTCCCATCCTACCTGTCAGTGAGGAAGAGCATGTGAGAGCGAGAGTTGTAACTCTAACCTCCACACAAGTGTGAGGACACAGTTTTACAATATAAATATTCCATGCTGCATAGTCTCATTCCATCCTTGTGCCAAAACTGATGAATGTCTAGCCCTGTGGTAAACAAGTTCAGAGAGCAAAACCAGAAGAAAGTCAATTTTCCAAACTACAGTTCTCTCAGCTCATGCTCCAGTCAGATCATGCTGACTGTGTTGTAAAAAAAAAAAAAAAAAAAAAATCACACTCTTGGGTTTGCCAGTGAGTAGATTTCCACCTTCCAAGTCTTTGACTACTAAACTCTGACTGGAAGAAAAAAAACCTCTCTACAAGAAGAAAAAAAGATTTTCACATTTTACACACAGGTGCAGTGAGGCTTAATCTTAGAAAAGGATCATTATAGGTAAGGAAGCTTTAGAGCTTATAGTGTCTCAGCTGTCTGGAGGGTCTGAGGTGGAAGGGCCAGAAGGGGGTTCAGAAGCAACCCCAGCAGGTTTGGAAATGGACAACCCAGCCATCTTGCTGACGGCGAGCTGCAGAAGAAATTTAGGGCAAACTGCCAGCAATAGGGTGAGAGGCGATGACCAGGTGAGAGGCACAAGCTGTTCACATCGTTGCCTGGACATAGAACTGGCTTCTTGCTGGAGAGCAGGGATGTCGAAGGATGAAAACCCTTCTGGCTATCGGTCCCTGTGCAGCTCTGCTCTTAACCTTCCCTCTCAGGAAAGCTTGCAATGAGCTTGAGAATTTACATTCATCTGTTATCATGGACAGCATTCCTAACCACCCGGCTCTGTTGCTTATTTGCTTCCGCTGCAGCTGTCACAAAACAACTCTGGTTCTTGCCAGGAAAAAAAGAATTAAAGAGAGAGAATTTAAAAAAAAAAAAAAAGTAAAAGAAAAGAAAAGAAAACAACAAAACAAGCAAATTAAAAAAAAAAACACAAAAAAAAAGCAGAGAGAGAGTCTCTCCTACTGCTCAGTTTTCAAATCACAGAGCTAAGGCCACGATTTCAGCAGAACATTAAAAATTCTTTTAGAAAGGGACATGCTAATGACAAATAATTTTGAAGGCAGGAAGAGGAGAAGAGGAAGTCACATGTATGAGAAACTGACCTGAACAGGAAGACTCCTACTTTTATAAGTACCAGTTTGGATGCAATGTTAACAGTTTCACTGGTTTTAGCAAGAGTGGAAGAGCAAGAGTAGATACCCTAAATTAAATTTGTCTACTAGAGGCCTTCTGGCAACACCAAAAAAAGGGGTGAGGGAGATCAAGATCTTTATACTCATGCATCTAGAAATTGCCCTACAAGGAGAAGCAATTCATTACAGCAGTAAATTAAAATATAAAGATTTTATTCTTACCTGTCCAACCACGCAAGCAAGGCTTTAGCAGCACCAATAAGCTCTACCACAGAAGTAAGGAATTCATTGGGGGGCTTGCGAGAAGTATTTCCGTCATAATTTGAACTTTTCCTACGGCTGCTGATGTAATTCTGCAGATTGTTGCATGATGCTCGCAACTTGAGAACCAGGTTCTTCATATTGTCTGTTTCAAGGCCATAGTTCTGCAATGAATATATTAAGCCTGATAAATCTCCCTGTTGAGTCTTCCTATTTATTACAGCACAAGTTATAAACTTATATGGGATGAAAGGTCTGAGGATTTGCCCTTTTTTTTTTTTATTTTCTGGTTTTTGGCAAAAATGTCTTCAAAGATTTGTTCTACACTACAACCACTAAAGAATACTTTTGTGGGTGCCAAACTCTCTCAGTTTCAGAGATTAATGAGATTTGAGGACACTTTACAATCAGAACGAAGTCCCAATGTCCTATCAGATGTCATTTACCTTTAAAATGTAGTTGGAGTAAGAGGATTGTGTTGTTTTTGTTAAAGGAAGGCAAATGTTTTTCTTAAAATGTTTTCTGTGCTGTGGTACATGAACACTAAAGTAACATTTCATTCACAACTAAAGATAAGTTTAATCTGGCAAGAGATAAAAACATCAACGGGAAGCAAATGTAGTTTCATAATCAAAAGCTGAATTAAATATTTAGATCGCGCGTTTTCAGTAACTGCTCCTTGATTACAGCAGTGCAATTATTTGCAAGTTTGAGGACTGCATTAACACTATATATAGTAATTAAAACCATTCTTAGACATAGTATTTTTCATTCAACGGTATCTTTATAAAAATTTTTGAAACCTAAAAAAAAATTTTAAAAAATCTGTAAGTCCTGCCTGTAACTTCAACTTTATAAATTCAAACACAACCAAACCATGCTCCATAAGATTAAAACTCAATTGTTTCAAGCAACACATTGATCAACTCATTGCAAACAGGTCAGAAGTGCTATACTATATCTGTTCTGAAGGCAACTCAACTTTGTAATCAAGATTTTCTTTTTGCTGTCAGTGTGCAAACGTAAGAATTATAGAGCAATATGTTTGCTGAGTATCTTTGCTTTTGAGTTACCCCACCTTGCAAAAATCTCTGTAGGCATCTTCTGAAAGTTACGTTGCAGGCAATGCTTGGCTCTTTTAGAGTGAAAATTCCTACTTTACTTGAAAATAAAAATGAACAAAAAAAAAAAACCACAAAAAATCTCAACACAACAAAAAAATCCCACCAACCAACCACCAAGTACCAAGCAAACAAAAACCCACCAAACCCACTCAAAAAAAAAAAAAAAAAGATAAATAAATAAATAAATGGAACTAAACTGCCTTTCTCAATTCTTTTGCTGCTGCAGATTCTCAGTCCAACCTCCTGCTCACACCAGGCTCCGTTGTTAGCTTAGACCAGCTTATTCAGGTCTTGTAAATCTCCAAGGACAGAGACTGCACAACCTTTCTGGACAACCAGATCCACCATCTGCCTGCCCTTGGGGTGAGAAAGTGCTTCCTGAAGCCCAGCCTGAACCTCTTCCTTCAACTTCTGCCCATAGTCTCTCATCCTCCCGCCACACCACCATGAAGAGCACAGCTCTGTCATCCTGCCAACTGTGTCCCCCCCATGGCAGGTGCTGGGGATCTGATATCAGGCATCCCTGAAGCCACCTCTTCCCCAGGCTTAAGGAGTCCCAGTCCCTCAGCCTCTCCCCATGAGTGAGTCCTCCAGCCCTGACCAACCTGGTAGCCCTCCACTGAGCTTACTCTGGTTCGTCCACATCTTTCCTGTACTTGGGGACAGAATATGTAGACTAACGAGTGCCAAGGAAAGGGCTACAATCACTTCCGTCCTTCTCCTGGTCATGCTCCCATTAAAGTAGGCCAGGATGCTGCTGGCTGCTTTGCTGCCAGGGCACACTGCAGCTCCGTTCTTTCCACAGTCAAGCATCCATAAAACAGGCTGGAATATCTAATCTTAAGTCATTTGCAAAAGACAAAACAGAACCTTTGCCCCAAAGAAACCCACCAGTACAAGGAGAGGTTTCAGGTACTCAGCTATCTTTAAAACACCTACCATATCCTATGGATAAGATCCCAGTGGGTGTAAGTTACACCAGTACATCCCTCCTCTCCCTGAGGGCTCTTGGCAAGGAAGTACCCTTAAAGTGCAGCCAGGAGTAGGGATTGAGAGGATATATCCAATTGAAAAAATGCCACTGTTGCAACAGCAAAGGATATCCTTAAATTTTCCAGGATCACAGAGAGGGAAAGATTTGGATCACTAAACAGTGTTAAGGTACTTATACACTGTCATGTGTATAAGTATCTTTTAATTTAAAAAAAAAAAAACAAAAACAAAACCACCAACAACAACAACAAAAGCACACCACACTTGAGCACCATTCATATATATTTCTTGCTGTTAGTTTTCTCCTCCTCACAGGACATGAGTATTAGTCTATTTTTAAAGGAATACTTTTTCACCAGCAGGTCTGGATGTGAAATAAGTTCCCATGATCACAAGAATTTGAAAGTGGCCATGTGCCAGAAATCCCCCCCTTTAACAGGGGAATTAGAGGACACTGACCCTTCTCCTTCTGTAAAGGGATATAAAACACAAAAGGTTTTTTTTTTTCCATAGTGGTATAACCACCTAAACATTCTGGTCAGAACTTGAGAGAGTCTTCATATATTTAGCTATCTCCAGGTCTTTCTTTCTGTCATTCGGGTGCAGAAATTGTACCTACCGTATGTGAGTGTCTGATTAGAGATGGCCCCAGCACTTAAGAGGACACATGTTAATACACCAGGCCAGATTTCAGCTTTGGCCCCAAAATATTCACATGCTCATTATCACACCTCTTTCATCTTATTTATACAGTGAGTCAGTCCAGTGTGACTTTTCCAGGTTAGCTAGTTTTTAAATAATTCTATCAAGCAGTCCTCACTTTTGAGGTGGACTTCAACACAGGTGTTGCCTCTGGAGACACAGGGGCTCCAGCTTGTAACTGCAACTGGTCTCCCCAACAGCCTATCAAGAGCACATCACAGCCAAGCTCTCCAGTATCTGCGTACTAAGCTTTCTTATGGCTTCCCCCAGAGACCCGACAGCGCGCACCTGAGATATCTAAACCAGCGGTTTGTGCTCTAGGAAAAGCCCTGGCTAAGCGCTATGCCTATCCAGCACAACAGGAAGCATGCAGCTCTCCAGTACAGGCAACGGAATTCTCTAACTACGGATCAGCCCCGAGGGATCAACTTCCTCAGAACGAAGGGTCGTCATGACCGAAACCACCTCTGCTCCAGAGGCAAACCAGTCTCCTCGCTTGTTTGCTCTAATACACAGAAAACATTATGCCCCTTCGCCAGACACAGCAACGCTTCTATCCAAGCTGACAGTACCTTGATCACCTCACAGACAACCACTTACTTCTGCTATTTTTCTTGCAGTGTCCAGTCCATTGGGACGGCTGGTTTGGGAAACTAAACCATTCAAAAAAAATCTATTCCCTTTTTTACTGTAGTGTGCTCTCAGCTGGATTAGCATCCTGAAGTAGCTCACCTCCGGGTCAGGCGAGTGCAAGCACAAAAGATCACTCGGAGGACAGGGAGGGGGTGGAGGTGGCAGCTGACTTGGATTAATCTAACTTGTCATGGAGCTGTAGCCCCAATTCAGGACAGATAGGAATGTCGATAGCGTGGCAGCACAGCAAACAGCCTTAGCAGCGACGCAGTCGAAGTGCAAGGCTTGGCAGGCTTTCTTGAAATACTTCTACAGAACTGAGGCCCTAATATTTAACAGGTTATTATTTAAGCAACCAAAAAGGTTTTCGCTGTTGCCTATGAACCAAAAAACATGGTACGGTTTCCTATTGCTCCCGATTTAAAACATCGAAGTTGCTTCCATCAAAACACAGGTTGAAGCCAGCGGTCAAGAGCAGCCCACGTCAAACACTCCCAGGTTGTTCCTCATTAACCTGTGGAGCCGCAGGCAGAGCCGGGGCGAGAGGCGGCAGGCACACACACGTGCACGAGAGCGCGCTCTTTCCCAACTCCATCGCGCTTCATGAGAAAAAGTGCACTGACCAAATAACTGCTCAAGGTCAGACAGCTAACGTGAAATTAAAAGAAAAAAAGAAAAAGTATGGCTAACCGAAGTCAAAAGAGCGCAGCGGTTGTGTCAGAGCTGACTTGGGCCGCCCAGGGGCAGCACCGCCTGTCCCTTCACAGCCATGTTCACCTGCTGCAGTGCAATCAGCTGGATCTGCTGGCTGATCCAACTGAAAACCAGCTGTGGAGAAAAAAAAAAGTACAAAATAAAACCAGACTGAATGCCTGTTCAAAAGCTGATCCAACTCACTGCATGCCTACGTAAACACTAGAGTTAACACAAGGTACTGTCACAGTCACCTATTCTTGCTCTCTCTTAACAAAAATGCATCCTAAAGAATTCGCTAGAGTCCCAAATTTCCTAATAAACAGCACTAAGCTTAAGCTGAGACACCTAGAAAGCTAAAACCTTATGAGGTGGTGCATAGATGTGGTGCTTTTGACAAGGATTAGCCACAAAGGATGCATCTTCAAGTATACAAGTTCTATTTTATGTTATGATGTTATATTTTGCTGCACTGCAAGTATGCTGGCAGAACATTACTACCAGTGAAATTATCAAAGGCACAATGCTAAAAACTATGTTATTTTCATTTTGCGGTTTGGTTTTTGGTTTGTTTTTGTGGTGGGTTTGTTTTTGGTTTTGTTTTAAGATTGCTTAAAACCAGTATCTCTACACTGTAACTTCAAGAAAAATCAGCTGTGTTTTTGCTTCCAAACTCTCCTATCATACAGTGTAGTTCAAGATTCAGAAATCTAATCCAAAGAACACATTAAAAGTGAAAATATTTGCATATAGTTTCCCATTAATGCTTGCATTGTTTTATATTAAACCCAAACAAGCAAGTCTACCCATTAGGGAACGATAAGTAAGCATTCAGTTTTCACCACCACTCTATATGCTTTCTGTCCCAATTATTTGGCCAAGAAAGCTTATTTTCTGGACCCCTGCCCCGGCTTTTGTGGTTTTGCATGGGTTTATAAAGCATATTTATGTATGTTTCTTCCTCCATCCACCAAATACTTCAGTCAACTAAGAAATGTCTTCCTCTCATCCCTTTTCTCCCCCAGGCAAATACAGTTGTTGATGAAAAGATGGAGGCACTCAAGTTGATGTTCTTTTCCCCTCTGGGAGATTCAGTTTCTTTGACCTGTCCCCTAAATTCCTTAAGTCTGTCTTCAACACCTGTTCAGAAAAGTCTATTAGACCATCTGGAGAGCAAGAGAAATGTGTGCTCACAGGAAACCTTCACTTCTTATCCCTATCCACACTCTCTCCTGCTGAGCTGCAGCTTTGTCGCACATGTGGCCACTGTGCATCACAGGAGATGAGGAAATGCGGCCTCATCACCAAAGCGGCTGAGAAAGATGCAGTCATTTCTCTTTCAGCTATACTGGTTCTAGAGTTCACTTACTGTGGCAGCAAACACCATAACTTGAAGACATGTTTTCAGCTTGGCAGTGTAGCTGCCAAAGAGGGCTCTATCCCTATAAAACCTGGGTCAGGGGGGAAGGTGTCCTCAAGGAACAGACTATCTCCACACTGTGTTTTTATGACTGATCTACTGAGGCTGGAAAAAAGGTCTGTATGGTCAATGCTTGAAGAGAATTACTGCAGAAGAAAGATGCTTCAAAGACAGCTGCTTCACTGCCTTTAGAGCTGCAAGTGTTCCTGCAGCATGAGGAAACCAAAGCACTGATCTGAAGGAAGCTCAGCCAGAAAACTGCCAAGGTGAAACTACAAAAAGGAAAATTCTTCTTGAGAACTCCAGGACTGGGAAACGACCAAAACCCCCTCTCAGCCCTTCCTTGCTCCCCTCAAGAACAACTTTCAAAGCATGACCTCAGGCTGGCCCAGACAATGCCACATTTCCACAGTGTGAGCTAAAAGCATAGTGGGAATGAGGGCAGGGGAGGAAGAGAGGAAAAAAAAAAAATCCTCAAGATAGTTCCTTTTCTTTTTAATTCAAGGCTCCAGAAGTTAGGGAAACGTCACCATATATACACATACACAAAAAAAGAAACCATCCACTGAATTATATCAATATACAGACCCACTTTCAAAGAACTCATACAGGTGGAATGGGGAAACCTTTATTCTCTCATACAAAAAGAAGAGACAGCAAAATAAAAAAAAAAAAATTGGCTGTCACTAGAACTTAAAACACACCATGTCCTCAGGAACAAAATCAATGGTGATTTTATACAACAATCCCAAAAACTCAAGGGAAGGGACATCAAGAAGGTGACAAAGGGCATACCTAAAATATGGGAATTCTTCCTCCAGCTCTTAAAAGGCAACAAGGACATTTCAACTGCAATATGTGAACTCTGTCTAATGCATTAACTTGAGCTGCATTTCACAAAGGATTTCCAGAAATGAGTCTGAGGTCAAAACTTTTGTCTACAAAGGAAATTAGAAGGAAATTGTAGGAGATAAAACACAGCTTTAGGTTCTGGCGGTCATCCAGCTTTGTTCATTTTATTCTAATATTTTAAAAAGAAGAAAAAAGTGCCTTTGGGGGCTGCCACATTCCTTACTTCAGTCATGACTGTATACAGCACATCATACATTTACTAACTCACCAGACCTCTTCACTCACTGGACAGATTACCCCTTCCCACAACATGAACTGCATTTCAGGCTAATTCCATTCTTCTATGAGATTTTTTAAGTAATATGTTACAAATTTTTGATAGATACTGAAGAGGAAATAAACGTTTTTCAAATATAAGACCAACTCTTTGGGAAATATTTCAGACTGTATGAAGTGATTTCATGAAATACACTTCTTTCAGTATAGACTACCCGATTTGTTTCTGGTTATGGAGTACGAATGATCCCTGTAGCAACTCTCTGCAGCAAATAAAGCATGTATCATGCAGGCAATAAAGACTCGCCATTTTCAGAAGAGTATGCTTGGTGCCACAAGCTCTGCCTAATGAAGGGCAGGCGGGTCAGTGCTGGCCAAGGAATCATCAGGCAGCCTTTCCCACCCTTCTCCCTGATGTAATCATACATACCTCTGGCACTCATTTGCTGTGTTACATCAAAAACATCTTCAAGACTGTGTCCAAACTACAGCTTTTAAATAAAGCCTGCGCTAGCAAAGCAATCTTAAATATATTTATTCTTTTCAGATTGTGTTTGTTTTAAAAGTATCTGTGCAGTTATTATATAGCAGGAGTAAGATAGAGAAATAGCTTGAGTTCCGAATCCAATGAGAGTTGAACGTGACTGTAACTGAGTTATCAAAACATCCCTCATTTCAAGAACGTTTTCTTCACTTTGTAGGTAGACTGCAGAATCACTCAAACTCCATTTCAATTGATGTAAGGAACCATTAGCAGCTGTCATTTCAACAGTATGATTTCTATCTTATACGACAAATTCACTCAGTAGCAATTTTAATCACCTGGTTCACTAACAGCGGCCACAAGATCTAACAGTGCTACTCAGATAACTTCTTTCTTTAGAAGCGCAACCAAACGACTTAGGAAAGGAAATCTTGTCAGGAAAAAGAGAACACAAAGCTTGAGAGAATTAAACAAATTCTTACTGTTTTCTTTTACTGTGATGTGTAACAGAAAGCAAGGGACACAGGTATTCTGGTTTGATTAGACTCGCTTTAGTTATTCACCCAAAAGCACTTCAAGAAATTCTTTGCGTTATTGTTCGCCACTTAACTAACCAGTGCACACAGGAGATCCACAGCCTCTAGAACCAGTTCCTGGTGTCCGATCCGTGAGATACCCAATTCTTCAAGGTCCTGGTGAGAAATCTGTAGCAGCTGTTCACCATTTATCTTCTCCCGTTCAAATTTATGGACATACTGCTGCAGGCAATCGTCCAGGCCTACCGAAACACAGAAGAGAGAAAAGGAGAAAAGGGGATGAGAGTACAGATTTGTCTTTCCTTACCCTTCCCCCAACTAAAAAAAAAAAAAAGAAAAAAAGAAAAAACCCACCAAACCCCAAACTCCCCACAACTCAAAAAAAAAAAAAACCACTCAACAAAACAAACAAACAAACAAACCCTGCAAGAGGCACAAATTGCAAGTTCATACAATATGTGATGGCAAACTATGAAAGAAACTTGCAGTGCAACTTAAGCTGTAGCACAGGGGCGTAGAAACAGAGCACACAGGTTGTGCGGATTTTTGGGTCGCCTAAGTCAATGCATGACCCATCTGCTCCTTGTGGATGAAGCTCAGCAGATAAGGATGTCCCTTTGGTGTCTGCATAAGCAAAGCTATATTCAGCTATCAGGGTAACCCAAAACCCTGAACGGCAGCCAAAGCAACAACAACAAAAAAAAAGTGTCCAAAAAAAAAAATATACAAGGCAAGACAAGAACAAAGATCTTGCCCAAAGTCTAGTTAAACAAGCAAACAAAGGCACAAAACCCCACAGCTACTCATCTACTTTTACATAAAAGGACTGAATGAATGATGACAAGAAAATGGAACAATCAAAGGCAAAGCAATCAAAATTACATTTGGCTCAAGTCTCATTATTCCCTTGATTTATGAGACCCTGCAGCATCCTGAATCAGACATTCCTTCGCCTCACTAAGGATTAACGGCACAAACCAATAAGAAATCTAATTCACTTTTGTATCTATGAAGTATAGAAGTATGTAGTTTAGAGTATTTCATCCCAAATATCCTCACTTTAAATTGTGTTTCTATGATCTCATTTTCTACATCATTTTCCCCCCACTGAATAGAGAAAGGATTTCTGGTTTTTATTTATTTAACTAAGCTTTGTGTGTTAATCTGTCTTCTTACGTATTCCACTTATTTCCTGTGTTCTTAAAGATCCTGTATGCAGCAACAATCTGGGGAAAATATTTGGTTGTATATGTCATTTCAAAGATGATGCTGTGTTCCACTTCAACATATTAGCCAGAAGAAAAGGAACAGATTCAATTAGATCTGTTTTGCAGAAATACATCACATTCACTGAAAACAGCTGACAGGAGAAAAAAAAATCAGATTACAGAATTTACATTTACTTTGTAGCATCCACAAGAGCTACATTGTTTGACCACTCAGTTTTAAAAAACTGAACCTTTAGCTGTATAAAGGATGTTTATCCACTCGGCTGGCTCCAAATGAAGCCGTTGAGATGGACAGGATGTCGGATGCTGCAGATGAGAAACACGAACAGCATCCTGAACTACAAGGAAACGAGAGCCAGCAGACCAGTGCTCGGTTCCTCTCACGAGCCACAGCAGCAGCCTGGAAAACAAGCACTCCCCGCACACGCTACTGCCAAGAAAACATTGGAGACAAATCACAATGGGGGGTTTCCTAGGTGTCACCTGAAACATGTTCGCTTCGTGACAGCGGCACGAGCAGTCACTGCCTGGTCACAGCGGATCTGTAGATGACGGACTCTCCTCACACACCACCTGTCTTTGTAGCACTCGCTCAAAAAGTAGTAAGGACAGACAGACACCCTGCGACATGGCAGTCGCCCCCTTCGCACAGCTGGGGCAAGTTCCGTCACGGCAGTACATCAAAGCCCGGCTGAACGAGCCTGACTGCGCCACGTGCAGAGCTACGAGTGCACACAGCTTGATTTTCAAGCGTAATTATGAATGGGAAAGCCCACATGTAGGATGAGCGGAGTCTCCCAGGGCTACAGTTGTTTGGGGTGCACTCTTGTTTCTTCCCATCTGTCTTGGCAAGGCCGCATAAATTTTGAAAACTGAGCCCAGTGCTCTCTTTCCCACAGGCACCAAATTCTCCCTTAGGCTATACAAACTCTCTTCCCAGGAAAAATAATAAAAAGATCTGGCCTTCATTGTTTAACAAATTATTTTTTCAAAACAAATTCTCAACCGATGCTGACATACAGTGCGCATATTTGGCATTCCAAATTTTTAATGCTGTCTTGCAGACCACTCTTTCCCATCATTTGCCATCATAAGCCCATAGTTTCCATCACAAATTGCACAAACACCTCAAATAAAATACTTTATTCAGCATGCAAAGATTTTTTAACTTTCAAGTTTCTTGCACACAGTCTTACATTTGCCTACTATCCTTTCTGTGTGTTGACTCAACTTTCTAGATCCTCATTCTGTGCTAAAATACGACTCACAAACATATATAACCCCCACCAAGAAACACAACTATGGCTTTCAGCTTGCCTGTGATTTTTTTTTATTTATTTTTAGTTCATGCTTGCCTGTTCTTGAAGGTGTATTACAACTTGAACAGCTACCTCTAAAATAATTTTTTAATAAGACTCCTTAAAAACAATACTTGTATGATCATACAATAAGGCTGTATTTTGTAAAGTAAAATTACAAAAATCACACAAATGTAAATTCAAAACATTTAACAGAGGCACAGTCACTCAGCTAGAAATTTATTTAAGATTAAATGACCAAAACTATGCAAAGCAGGAAGTGAAGAGAGACCCACACACTCATGGCAAGCATTCACTAATGGTTTAAGATGAGCTTACTAACATTAGTGTTGTTATTATTTTTACTAAGAAACATATGGAAAAGTCTTAAACATTTTAATTAAGATTGCAAACGCATTTATAGCCTATTGTTTCATTTTCCATCATATGAATGAAATGTTTAAACATCATATGCAAACCAAAAAATTCCTATGCTCCCTTCTCCTTTCCCTCTTAGAGACAAAAAAGGACTCATAAATCAGTTCAATAAAATAAGCTAAATAATATTTATGTAAAGTTTAAAAAGACAACAGTCAAATGCCAGTGGTAATCTAAATGAACTGCTCATTTTTAGCTTCTTCCAAATATCTCTGTTCTTTCCGTGTAATTTTCTCCATGAACTTCAGAGCCTCATGTAGACTTGGAATTGCTCTTTAGCAAAGTTTGGATATTTTTGAGAAACTTGAATGAATTAAAAACTGTAAAAAGCAACCTGTACTACTCAGAAAGACATTTTCTTACATGCCAGATCATTTTCAACAGTGCAATATTAGCAAGATCAAGCAAGAAAATAGTTTTCTCTATTTTTGAAAAAAAAAAATTCAAGACTCTAGACATTGGAAGACATCTATATTTATCTCCTTCACCCATTTAAGAGCCCTTCTGAAGTCTAATCTATTCATTTTATTCTCAAAGTGTATTTAAAAACCATGCGTCTCAATTGCATGTGAGAAATTTTTATATATTATTCCCTGCACATACATCAAAACCATGCACAAAAGATAACATCCTTCCTACTTACATAACTGTTAGAACTAACAACTGCAGAAAGTTACCCAAGTTTTACAACAATAGTAGCAGTGATTTTTTTGGGAAGGGAGAGAGACCAGTTAGTGTTATTCGTATCGTGAAAACCCTTCTGAGGAACTTCAGTGTAACTTGAACAAAACTTCCTCCCAAATTTTGGCAGGTGTAGAGATGTGCAAAAGATCCTAAGAACTGTCTAGACTTTTCCGTCTAAAATAACCTTCCACCACCACACAAAGCACCCCAGAAGACATTCAATACCTTGCATTCATGCAAAGACAGTGGGACAGGGCTTACACTTACAGATTTGCACTGATACCAATCTCAGCCTGTTTCCAAGACTAAGAAAGTTATTTTGAATAAGAATTGAGGGGAAAACAACAACTTTGAGGGGGCTAAGGGGGAGGCTTGGGTCTAAGCCGTAACTATTAGTTTACTATTCAGAGAGAATTAACATTTCTACTGTTGATAGATGTCAGCCATTCAGCAATGACTTACCTGACTCCCAAAGTACAAGAGACTCGTGTTTTACAAGTAGTCATTAAGTAGTTTCACGTTTTTTGCTCAACCTCTGTGCTGAACATTATGGTAGTTAAATTATTTGGTAAAGCAATAAAAACAGTTAATTAACGTATTACAGCCACGCGTCCAAAACCAGCCGACTCGCCACCTCTCCTTTCCTCCCACCATCCCACTCTTTCTCACTCTCTTCTCTTGTGAGACCAGAGTCTAGTTAGTCCAACATGGCAGAGAAGGAAGCAGGGAAGAGGAGATAAGGCAAGAAACTGAAGAAGGAACAGGGAGAGGGAACTGGAAGGTGATGGGGATCATCTTCTGTTAGTTCCAGAACTTGAACAGATTCTCAGGATAGCTCATAAAATGCCAAAGCTGACACAAGGAAGTGGGAGAACAAGCCAATGAACAGAGGAAGAACTTGTAAGACCTACTCCTTCACACAGCACCACCATGGGGAGTGTTGCTCACTGTCTCAAGGAAATATCGCCTTATTATAATGAACTCAGTTTCTTCTCTGTTGGGTGACTCGTTAACAAACTGGCAGCACTTGGTGTCTCTGAGTAGCACTAAGGCTCAGCTACAACCCTCAGCCGGCCAAGGGACTCCCTTAGACCTTGGGTAGCTGGCTAGTTGGGACGGCCAAAGTCTTCTTTGTCTCATCACCTTAAGAAACACACATTCAAATGTTGTAAGAATCTGATCTTCCCACCTAACAAAGTCACTCTTCTTCTGGTCTCCCCTTTAGAGTCTATCTATTTGCCACTTCTAGTCTCCAAAGACTCCTTGCACACACCAACTTTGATCTATCCTCCCAAGCTTTGAAAGATCATCAGTTCTGGGAGAATCTTTGTCATACTCCATGGTACATGTCATTATATTATCATTTACATTCCACATCATTTTATAACTGTTATTGTGATAGCTTCCTCCCTTCATTTCCTCCATCTATTTCCAGGACTGGAAGAAATTAATAAATGAAAAAGCAGGAGGGACTCAAGGCAGCAAAGCAACACTAGAAAGAGAAAATTACTTCATAAGCAGGCGAACCAGCACCTGAGAAGGTGGATGAAAGTAGGGAAAAATGGTCCACAAGACAGCTGTGAAAAGCTGAAG